GATAGTGACATTATTATATATGAGATTAAATAATTTAACTTCTCAAACATTTGAGATGAAAGTGTTGGTGAAGCCTTTTATTGGCATTAAGTTTCACCTAAATAAATTTCGTGAAATTTTGGATTGTCACAATTAAAGAACCTACTTTGATAAAGTTTTGAAAGTATTTGACATATAACACTATAGAGGTAGAATTGTACCCATTGTAAAAGTTGAGAAATTTGGTAATCCAAGGACCAAGAAAATATCTAGAGCATGATTAGGTAAAAGGCATCTTCTATGCCTTTGGAAATCTAATGTATGTTCAGGTTTTGTATATGGTTAATTATAAAATAGCCTATAGTAGGCAGATATCACATTGATCCTAGTTTGGATCCATAGTAAGCGGCAAAGAAATTTATAAGATATCTGCAAATAGTTAAGAACTATATCTTTATAGGAGTGGTGAAAACTGACTTTGTTGGTTGTTAGGACAATATACAAATCCACTTCAAGTATTGTTTTACTATTATGATAAGTAATAGAAGCGATTTACTTGCATATTATAAGGCCACGTTTCATGCATTATAAAATATCAGTTTTGTATTTTAGGTCAATAATTCTACTACAATATTGTATTAAAGAAACAACAAGAGTTCAAGGAAGTCTAAAATATAACTGTTAATATCTTGTTGTGAAATAAAGGAATCAGACCCAACTAGTGTCTGATTGAGCATATAATACACAACAAAATATTGTTGATCCCATGACTAAGGGTTTGCCACTAATGTTGTACAGTAAGCATACATATTTCTTTTTGACAGTATTAATTTACTTAGTGGGAGGTTGTATTTGGCTCATTGTAAAGACAATTTTATTTTGTGATCATAGTTATTATCCTCATTTACTAGATTTTCCATATTACTGCACATCTGTATGGAAAATTGTGATTCAAGTGTCCTATTTTGAGACACGGTGTGTCCTTATTAAGTCGCGGTAGGACCGATGCATGGCATAAATATTGCGTTGAATATATGCACATGCGGTATATATGTGACTTTGGAGTTGGGTTTATTAGTATCAGTGATCATTGGTGTCTTATATCACTAATGAAATAATGACGCCCTTGATATATCCAATATTAGTAGACTCGAAAGGACTCCAAATTGGACAATAGAGGTGTTTCTTATAAATATATAAATTAAGGTTTGGAGTGCACTTGTTTGTTATTTTGATCTAAAAGTGAGAATTAATTATTGTCAGACTAAGTGGGAGAATATAAGCAAAATAATAATCTAACAATAATTATTTTGATATTAATAATTTTATTAGACTTAGATTAAAAGGTTGCACCCTATTTAATTGAGGTGCATTACATTGTATAATTTCCTAAATCTATCTTTAATTGAAGAAAAGTAACATATGAAGAGTTGTGTTGCTTGATAGAACCAACACACCTCTTAATGTTTACTGGAACGGTCCTAACCCTCATCTATATATATGCGTAGAAGTCTGAAATCCATCATCCTGTATGCAATGAAAGATAAGAGGGTTGAAAGTCGTCTCCTATATGATATAAATAATGTTTGCGCTATAATTCCTTTAAATAGATTTTCATATCGCGTATGTCTTCTTTATCAAATTTATGCATTGGAACCATGTTTCTATTTATGTTAGAATATTCTTACAAAAAGAAGATGTAAACATTGTTTCAGGAATTTTGTGTGAATGTGAAAAACTAATCTCACCTCACTTCAACATTTTATTCTAACTCTCCGCTTTATGCTTTAATTATGACCAAGAGCCTAGTCAATATTATAATGGAGTAATTGATTTTCATACTTCACAAATAGAATAGAGATGTTTCTCCCTAATATTTTGTCTCGTGATCGTCAACTTTAGTGTGCTTAATCCTCTCGTGGAACACTGAATTACAGACCATATTGATAATTGCTAGATTATTACAAAACAACGGAAAAGAAGTTTAAACTTCCAAACAAAATTCTTCAAAAAAATATTGTAACTATGTCAATTCATTGAATGTATGAGTCATCGTACTTGGCTTTAACCGTAAAAAAATAATAATAATAAAAAAATAAAAATAATAATAATTAATTTCACTTGGAGACCCACAAATTATTTCAAAACTTTTTCCAAAATATCAAAAACTGTTAAAATTGTGATTTTTTAAATTCTAAAAGGCAACATTTTAATCAAATTTTAAGCACCTTTTCAATTTGAAAAACATCTTTTTATCATCCCAAAAAATCCCTTCTATTATAGGTCTATTCCGTATTTTGACCTAATTGTTGCAATGTCACCATTTTGACCTAGTTTAGATGTTTTGGGTCATGTTTTTCCATAATAATTGGTAATTTCAAGGTCATTAAAAAATTTTAAAAAGAAAAATATGTGTGTATATATCATCTTCACGTTCACATACCCAAAATATTGCCAAAATTCCTTTTTTGGACCTTTTTTTTTTTTTTTTTTTTGAATTTAAACTATTTATTGCATTTTCCCATGGATTTTAAAATCCATTTTGCTTATGAGAAAACCATTTTTATGCCCCTCTCAGAGCCTAATTGTTTTATACCAAAATTGAATTTGGGTAGCATTGCTATGTAACATTGTGGTATTAATGCACAATTTTTATTGATTATGTTTTGTCACATTTTAAGAATATCTATTTTCTAGTCCACATCATAAAAACATGATCATTAATTAGGGGATAGTGTTTAGCTACTCACCGGTGAGTAGCTTTACCCTATTCATCCCTTATGTGCTCCAATAACAAAATAACACATCAGCTTTAATAATAAGATAATTCACGCCCTCCTCTGCTTTCTTAGATCAATCATTGAATAAACGTACATGGCCTTTTTTTTATTATTATTTTGTTGATTTTGTTATTAAAGCTGATCTGTTATTTTGTTATTAGAACACGTAAGGGGTGAGTAGAGTGAGGTTACTCATCGGTGAGTAGCTAAACATTGTCCTTAATTAGGTGAGGACTCTGTATTTCGTCAAAATTTTCTCAAATTTTTTTCAATGCAAGTATACTTAAGAATAGGCTCGCTTATTGTGTCTTTTATGTATAAAAATCCCTAAGCACATCTTATTAGAATTGCATATAACCACGTTAACAATAAATTAATTTTGTATGATTTTATAACCAGTGTACTTGTATAGTTGTATGTCCGTATTTTATAGTCTTCATCTCCAAATAAATATTATCTTAATAATTTATAATTAGATGCTTGGTACATTATGGCAAGCTCGGGATTTTAATTATGAAATGAAATTTAAAATAATTAGATTAGATTTGTATTCAACTCACCCCTTTTGCAAACGTTTTGGATAGGTTGAGTCTGAAAAGTTATCAAGATATATTTAACATAAAATGTATTAAACTTTTAATCCAAACACAACTCAAAACAATCTTCATCTTGAGCTTTTTAACTCGAGCTGACATAAAATGTATTAAACCTTTAACCCAAACACAACTCAAATAATCGTTATCTTAAACTTTTGGGTTAGTTTCATTGACACCGTTTGAGGTATTGGTCAATACACTCAACGGCTTATCAACATTTTTTGGACAATAACACCTTCGGAGGTTTTAAAACCTTCATCCACACTGTCTCGATTATAAAAAGACCTAAATGCCCTTTGATTAGTCAACAATTACTTTTTAATTATGAAATGACCTGAATGCCCTTTTTAACTAATTTTAATCGACCAAATTGACCCATTATTTGGACAATTGCATTAAAATATCCACCCTTTCTATTTTCACCGCTTCGTCCTATCATCCATCATCAGTATCAAGCAAGTCTTACTGGTGGCTATTCAGTTGGATATGTGTGTTCGCACGCGCGTGTATCAACGACAACCTGGCCTGCCTTACCTTTCACCGTCACAAATTCTCTACCAAATCCATCGTCATGGATTATAATACAAAGAGCGAACCATGTGTCTATGTTTATACATATATATATATATATATATATATATATATATATATATATATATATGTATATGTATGTGAATTTGGTTTTAATTTGAGGTTCCTCATGATTCGATTATGTTCGTTATAAGTTGAGATGATGGTGGTAGAAGTGGAGGGAGGGGGTATATATATATGTGTGGGGTTTCAGATTGGTGGTATACAAATTAGCTAGGTTCGATTTGGCGTTTCACGTGGTGGGTGGTGGCAGCGAACTCGATCTTGGCCTTCGCGAGGTGGCAGAGTAGCAGATGCTCAAAGGTGCACTATAAGAAAAGTGGGCTTTTACGACATAGTATTTATGGGGCTTCTTTATTTTGCCTCGTGATTACCACCATTTACGGAGTTTTTAAAAGAATCCTCGTAATTGTTATGTTACAAGACATGCTTTCACGAGGATTGTATAGAATCGTTGTAGAAAAATATTTTTACGGCGTATTAAAGAGCCCGTGAATATTTAGATATATTTACGGCATATTTGTACACCTTTAACAGGATAAATGTTTCTCGTTGATAAAGCACTAAAATTTCACATTTAAGGCCTTTTTTTCCCCGTAAATAAGCAATAAAACTTGCCCGCCCAATTGAATAGGCACGATTAATAAAATAACTTAAAAAATATATACGGGAAATAATTAAAAAATGAACTTAAGTTCTTTTACGGTATATTGAAGAACTCGTGGATAAATTTCACATCCAAGGCGCCTTTTTTGCCCCGTAAATAAGCAATAAAAGTTTCCCATCAAGTAATTTTCACTCCCCCGCCAAATTGCCAAAGTAAACAGGTGGCCAGGCACGATTAATAAAATTACTTAAAAAATATATAAAGAAAAGAATGAATTACGTTCTTTTACGGTGTATTAAAGGTGAATAAATTTCACATTTAAGGCTCCTTTTTGGCCACGTACATAAGTAATAAAAGTTCCCACCAAGACATTTTCACTCCCCCGCCAAATTGCCAAAGTAAATGGGTGGCCGGGCACAGTTAATATATATAATCTGCTTAAATATATATACTGGACAAAAAGAAAAGAAAAAAAAGAAAAAACCCAACTTATATCAATTTCTTCCCAAAAGAAGCTTCAATGAGTGTGGAAAGAGAGAGACCCGAATCTCTCATCTATCAATTTCTTTGGATGAACCGTGTTGATGGTAGTAATTTGAGGAAAGAAAGCTTGGTTTCCTAAACTCATCTTTCTCAGATTGGACTCCCGATGGTGTCGATCATTCCGTAAACGACCAGCGAAGAGGTTAGGGTTTTCAACCAGCGACCAAAAATTGAAGTTGAATCGAGCCACCATGGACGACGGTACGTACCTTGTTACAGTTGCCTCTCATCCTTTCTATTTTGTGCTAACCATAAGCTAAACCCCGAGGGGGTGGACCGACAAGTGCTGGTACGTCCACAACCTCCTCAAGTACGAGTTCGATCTCCAATTCGACATCCCCATCACCTACCCTTCCACTGCCCCCGAACTTGAATTGCCCCAACTGGATGGCAAGACCCACAAGGTTCGATTAGGTTTAATTTTTTTTTTTTTTTTTAATCAAATTTTGTTTGTCAATTTGTTTATCTGTGTGTTTGTGTGTGTGGGAATGATGTAATTTGATTTGGGTTTTTGCAGATTTTGTTAGATGTCTAGAGGAAGGAAGATTTGCTTGACTGTGCATTTCAAACCGCTCCGGGCTAAGAACTGGTATGTCCTTTTTTATTTTTATTTTTTATTATTATTATCTTTCGTTTGAATTTTTTGAATTGGAATTGTTGAAGTCTTATCTTAGTGCTTGATTTGAATTATTCATTGGAAAAATATAATTTGATAAATTAATATTTTTATTTATTTTTCAATTGGGGAAAGCATTCAAAATTATTGCATCATATTAGGGAGAAAATATAAAGATCCCAAAACGAGCATATTAAACATTTGACTATACACACAAACTGATTTTTATTCAGCATATTTATGTATAAAAATCATGTCTTTTCACCCTTGAGCTCGCCACATGTCAACCCTAATATATAATTTTGCATAATGGATGCCTGTTTAATAAATAATGAGTTAAGTTAAGTACAAGCTAAATAGTTTGAGCAATATTTCTTGTTACACTATAAAATCATGATGATTGCACCTCACAGTGCCACTGAATTTCTGGTTTGTAGTTGATGGATGTTGTGTTCATTGATATCAAATACTGAAGTTTTTGTTCTTTATCTTAACTCAACTGAAGTGACTTCGTTTACTTGCTCTCATTTCCACCCTTTGTAAGTGAAGTAGGTCTTTGTGAACACAATTTTATTTTTATTTTTTATTTTTATTTTAGAATTTTGTGATCTTAATTCAATTTCTTTGGCAAGTATTTATTAGATTTCGTTACAAAATGCTTTGAGATTTTTGTGCATCACTAATTCATCTTTCATTAATCATGCATGCATTTGGTGGTAGAATAATGATTTGTTATTTTTTGCACAACTCTAACTTTGTGAGATGAACTAAATTTTTGTAATTGTGTACAAAAACTTTATACCTATGAATTATATAACATGTGATGTAGTTGAAAGAGTTAAGACAAAAAAGGACAAGCGTGTTAAGGAGATTTGAAAATATATTAATAAGTCAGTAAATGTGATCTTATAACTAGATGTGTTTATTTTGGTGAACAATGAGGGGAGAGCTTCAACTACCTTGCTAAAATCTTGTTTTGCAATTATTTTCAGGCCTTTATCTTTGCACATCGTTGTTTTTTTACTATTGTTTCGCATTGACATTTTTCTTTCTATTTCACAGTGATTTAGAGAAAAGATAGCAGAAGGAAGAAAGTCTTTGCAGGAACTTACTCCCTGGTGCTACAAGGTCTGTATCATATCATTGTTGCTAAAAGAAATTAAGTTATTTTCCTGGATTTGCTTTTGGTTCCTCCTTTTCCTCTGTTATTATAGCCCTTGTCTTTTAATTATGTTTGCAGTTGGCCAATGACCATGAAAAGGATTTAAAATTTTCTTTCATAGAATTATATGGACTAGAGTATATGTTTAATAATAAAAATCTGCCTTGCAATTTGACAAATTTTTTTTTTATCTTTTGTGATAGGTTACTAGACAAAATAATTAACCTAATAGTGATGGATAAAGAATGGATGCACATGACTTATAGGTTATTATATGTAGTGGAGTGTGCTTATAAAAAGTTAATATTGTCTACACTAATTTAATTAAATGTTAAAGCTTTAATTTTATAGAGTTGATCCAAAGTATTTAGAAGGAGCACAGAGGTTTACTGATGAGGAACAAGCGAATGCGGGCTATCCAAAAAAGATTTTATGCCCTTGTAATTGTTGTCTAAATGCAAAGCACAAACACTTCGACATAATGTTTAGGCATTTATTGGAAAATGGAATGGATCAATCATACACGATCTAGTACTTTCACGGGGAAAATCTGAGTGAATCTCCCCAACATGGAAGTGATGTAAATGATGTTGAAATGCCAAAGACGTATCAGATGTATAGAGATATTTTCTTTGATGGTAATGATGATGATGCTTCAGATCCAAACTATGAAATAAGAGAGGCTGAGTTTAAAAAGGAGTTGGAATATGCTGAGACCCCTTTATTTCCAGAATGCACAAAGTACACGATATATTATGTCTACAATTGTTGCCTTATACAAGCACAAAACAATAAATAATTTATTTGACACTGGTTTTGATGGACTTCTTCAAATGTTTGGGGATATGCTTCTAGAAAATGACAAACTTCCTAAGAGCTATTATGAAACAAATTTTTTTTTAAAAGAAATTTGATTTAGGATATGAGAAAATAGATGCTTGTAAGAATGACTATTGTCTGTTTAGAAAAGAGAATAAGCACATGACTAAATGCCCAAAATGTGGTGCTTCGCGGTGGAAAGAGAATGAGCGTACTAAGAAGGTTCAAAATGGTGTCCCAGCTAAGGTGTTATGGTACTTTCCAATAGTACCAAGGTTTAGAAGAATGTTTCGATCCCCTGAAATAGCAAAATAACTAACGTGGCATTCAACTCATAGAAGTGGGGATAGAAAGATGAGACATCTAGTTGACACGCCTGCATGGCATACGATGGATAAAAAATGGCCTTCTTTTGCATCAAATTCACGAAATTTAAGACTTGGCCTTTCAACTAATGGGTTTAATCCATTCGGTGACCTTAGTTCGGCATATAGTTGCTGGCCAGTAACATTGGTGGTATATAATCTTTCGCCATTTGAATTCATGTCTAAAGAAAATATGATGTTGACATTACTAATCCCAGGGCCGAAGCAATCGGGGAATGATATATATGTGTATTTGGAGCCACTTATAGATGATTTGAAAGAGTTATGGGAGAAAGACGTGGAAATTTATGATGCATTTGAAAAGTCCATATTTAATTTGAAAGTAATCTTGATGTGGACAATTAGTGACTTTCCAGCTTTTAGTAACCTCTTTGATCATGTAACAAAGGGTAAAAAAGCTTGTCCAACATGTAGTGATGACACATGTTCAAGGAGGTTGAATTGTAGCACCAAGACTGTTTACTAGGGTCACCGTCGATGGCTATCTCCTACTCACCCATTTCGAAAAAAGAAGAGTTGGTTTGATGGGAGTGAAAAACATAGGTGGAGGCCTAAAATATTGTCTGGGACTGAAATTCTTCATGCTGTGAAAAATATTAAAAATGATTGGGGTAAAAAAGGGAAGAGAAAATTACATATCAAACCAAAAATTGGAAAGAGAAAACAAAAGGCAAAAAAGCAGGAAACTATGGCGTCGAAGAAAAAATCCATATTTTTTGAATTACCATACTGGGAGTTAAGTATTTATAATAGAAAGTTATTTTTTTTATATATATAAAATAAAAAATAAAAAAAATTATTTATTTAAGTATATAATATGTTTTAAAAATATTATTATTCCATTATTTGTGTTTTAGGTATTACTCGTTCGCCATAACTTAGATGTTATGCATATTGAGAAAAATGTTTGTAAGAGTATTATTGGCACCTTATTGAACATAAAAGGAAAATCAAAGGATGGACTCAAGTCTCGTATGGATTTGGAGGAAATGGGCATCAGGGGGGATTTGCACCCACAAGATTCAAAAGGGAAACATTTCTTGCCACCAGCACCACATACACTAAAGAAGGAAGAAAAACAGCTTTTATAGAAGAACTACAAGGTTTACAATGTGAGTTGTTACATTGGAAAGGGTCAGGTGTAGTTGTTGCCAAGGCTGAGATTGCAACAACGGATCCCAATGCATTAAAAGATCATTTTCCAATTGGTCCAGATTGTTGGAAAGTATGGATTGATGATATATTGGTCAGCGAGTGTCCTTTGTACCGAGCAAGCCTAAATGGAAATTTTTATCTTCATGATGCTAACACAAGCTCAGTTGTATGGCTTAAGAAATATGTGAAAATTATAAAGGTCAATTAGTCATTCACTAACTTATTATTATTATTTTTTAAATTAGTCATACGATCTGATTTTTTATATATTTGTTGGCATTTCATTTTTGAAATATTTTTTCTGACAAGATTGATTATCACCAGTTCATTAGGAGCAGAATTTCTATGATTCTATTCCACAACAAAGGTCAAATACTATGCTTCTTCATTTTCATTATCACCATGGAAATACATTATATGCTTAAAAAGTTAATTATTTTAGATGGTCACGTGCCTTAAGTGGCCAATTATTATTATTATTGTGCATAAATTGAGGTTGGGAAATTGTTGCGGATGGAGTTTGGTTTTCATTCATTGCTTACTACGGTGTATTGGGGGTCACGTGCCTTAAGTGACCATTTTATTTATTATTACTGTGCATAAATATATGGAGGGATTGATGTTGTGATCCAAACTAGGTAGTTCCAAGGGACAAGCTGATATGGGTTGTAGAATGAAGCAATCATTATTTTACTTTGACACCTTAAGATTCTTCATATTGCATAATCAACAAGAAAATACATATTCTCTACCATTCGAAAGAAAAAGAAAATGCAATGCTCTTAAATCTAGTAAAAAAGAAAGAAGAAGAAGATAAAACTGTTAATCACATTGGAAAAAAATAAGTTTGGTAGGCAATTTAGGAGCAGCTCGGAAACTGAGCTGTCAAGTATTGTAAACTTATATCCAAAAGTTTTTGTTCGTGTTTCATAATATCTGAAATTTTACAACATTGTCTTTTAAAACACCAAGAATACATACAATATAAGGTACATAATTTAGGATTTCATACCACAATGAACTGATACAATGAAAATATCTATCAGAGGAAAAAAAAAAAAAAGGAGGATGGGGAAAGACACAAAAACAAGGACAATGAGCAATATGAGAACAGGTGCTCCTAAGCTGAAGTTCTTCATGATCTGTCTCTGTGTGATTGTGTGGTAATTCTTGATGCTAAGTGGTATCACTAGTGATGGCTATATATAGGGGTTGCTTTTTCAAATTGCCTGTGCTCTCTACAAAATTATGGTTCAACCTTGGATAAGTAGTCAATTTTAATTATAATATAGGTCTTGTGGATGGGCAGTTTGGTTGTTTTGGATGAAACTTGGAATTATTTTATTGGCACTTGCAGGAAATGGACAAAATAGACTTCAATTTGCAATTACCAAGATATGTTCTATGGGTTGATAAGTTAAAATAGTATTCAAGATCTCAATACTTAGTTCAACTGTTCTTAGAAGTTTCATATATACTTCCAAGATAATAAATTGCGTCACACATTTTTCCAATTCATTAGTGTGGAGGGAAAAATCGCCCTCCAATGAAAGTCACCCACGTGGCCACAATAGAAGCTCTGTTTTTATTTTCATTAATGGGCCACAAGAATCTTGCTCTGTTCAAGCCCAGTAAAGATGTCAAGAGCCCATGGTCACTGTTGTTGAATTTTCGGCCATTGGCCGAGTCGTCTGGACCAAGCTGCATTCAGCCCAGCTTCATTAAGGATGGACAACTCCTGTTAGGCAAATGATTCAACAAAGAAGGCAAGTTCTATGAAAGGAAAATTTTGCATGGAAAGAATTGTAATAAGGAAAGAACTCTAATTGTAAAGAATGTTGTGTATGGAATGAATTGAAGGACAAGCAAGGCGAGTCCTACAATAATTCTACCACCTTTTTCCATATAAATAGAGGCCTAAACCTCCAATAAAGCCATCGAGCAATTTACACTTGTCTCTGAGTATTATTATTGCTTGTTCTCAGTGAGCTGTATTTTTCTTTTTATTTCTTTTAAATAGAGAGAAATTTTGCACCTACACTTTGGCGCCGTCTGTGGGAAATGTATAGAAATATACTCTCACTTTTGTTTCAAATGGTTTCTATTACTACGATCAAGGACGTCAAACGGAGAATCTGTAATAGCGGTTGGAGTTGATGCAAAAGATGTGAGAGTAATTCTTGCATCAGTTTGAAACGCTTCGTCAGGTGAACGAAGCCAGTGTAGCTCAGATTGCATTGCTTCAACAACAAAACGATACCCTTCAAACAACAATGGCTCAGTTGAAATCACAGCCGCCACCAGTTGATGTGACCGTAACCCCCACAAACCAAAAGGCTCCTCCAATTATCAACCCTCAGGTCAATGGCACATAGCCTAATGAGGCTCGGCCCAACGAAGTTCCGCAAGAGCAGAGGACAAGGTCCGAGGCAGTTGCTTCGGATAATCTTCCTCATCGCACACAGGATGAACAAGCCGAGTCCAGCCGTAAGCTTATGGTATAGTCCAATGGCATTCCAGATAGCTCAAGCGTATAGGAGGCCTTTGACGAAAGAAGACTCCTGAGGATTCAGACACCCGCCTAGATGGCCAGAGAGCATAAGAACTCGTTAGTGAAGACTCCATTCACTGATGATATATATATTGTCAAAAGACCGAAGAAGTTCTCTATGCCTTCCTTTACCCAATTTGATGGCATAGGGATCCTTCTCGTCACCTCGATCATTACGCACAAAAGATGGCTCTAGATGATCACAACGATCCGTTCATGTGTAAGGTTTTTCCGACCAGCCTGACAGGAGCTGTGTTGGAGTGGTTCAGAAACAGGCCACACAAGTCTATCCCGGACTACGAAACTCTTTGCACTATGTTCCTAGCATAGTACTACGGAAACAAGAAGCAAAAGAAGAGTATCGCTAGCCTTTTTACCATAAGGCAAGAGAAAGGAGAAACGTTGCAAGATTTCTTATCCAAATTTAACATGGAGGCCTCGAAAATAGCAGATTGCCATCTTGCGACTGCAATAGAAACATTCAAGCTTGCAATGATTCAGGGAACCAAGTTCCACACTTCCTTAGTTAAATATTCCCCTCCGAATATGCAAACTCTCAATGCTAAGGCATAGATCTACATCCAACTTGAGGAGAATGTAGCCCACTGAGTGCAGTATGACACCCTCGTTACAGTAGAGAATAAGCCATAGGAAAGGGCGCCAAATTTAAAAAGTCAGAAAAGCCAGCACGCCTTAGCACCGGCCATTCAGGTACCCGAGAAGAAGTAAAGGATAGAGGAAAGGTTCACACCTTTTTACACCACCTTGGCTTGGCTGTTCCAAGAAAATAAGATGAAATTCATAACCCCTTAGCCCATGAAGCAACCCTTGGAGCAAAGGGATAAGATTAAGCACTGCGCCTACCATGGAGATTACGGGCATACAACTAATGATTGCAGATCCCTTAGGCGGCAAGTGGAGAATATGATAATCAGAGGTGAGCTGACAAACTACCTCATAACAAAGGAGTACGTGAAGCCTCGGGAGGCCAACCCTCGGAGAATAGAAGGTAATCAAGTAAAGGTCATCCATGCAATACATGGGAGATTAGAAGACGACCAAGAATCAGAAGAAGTATATAGATCCAGGCTAAAAATAGCCCACAAGCTAAGAAAGTTATCCTTGGCGAACACTATCACCTCGGGCAGCATCAGTATTGGGTTCGGCGATACGGATTTATCCAGGGTTCAACTCCCTCACGAGGATCCGCTAGTCATCAGCCTTCTGGTGGCAAACTGCTTGATCAAAAGGGTTCTGATAGACCCGGGTAGCAGTGCCAATATTATCACAAAGGTGGTCTTTGAGCAGCTAGAGATCCCGTCATCATCAATCCGGTCCACCTCCAGTCCCTTAATGGGGTTGGATGGAACGAAGGTAGACCCCTTTGGGGTTATTGATCTATTTGTCACTATGGCGAAAAGAATATTGAAAGAGAAATTTGTTCTAACAGAGATACATCCTTCTTATAATCTCATTATGGGAAGAGGTTGGATCCACCGAATGAACGGGGTCCCGTCTACCCTTCATCAAGTGATGCGATGCATGTCTCCGGACGGTAAGGAAGTTATTAATCTTTGGGGAGATCAAGTCACTGCCAAAGAATGCTATATGTTGACACAGAATAAGGCAAAGAAGGTAGTCAAGTAGTTCCAACCAGTTGCAACTCTCGGAAGCATGTCCAAATAGCAATTACAGAATCCTCTGCCCAAGTATTTGAAAGCGGAGGATGAAGCTAAAGCTACAAAGCCTACCGAGGAATCTCGCAAAGCTGTTGAAGTAATCCTCGGCAATCACCTATATAGGCTCTTCCTCCACAGCCGAAGAAAATGAAGCATTAATTGATGTCATTCGACGAAACGCAGATGCATTTGCTTGGGATCATTCAGATATGGTAGGTATCGATCCTTCAGTCTCGTGCCATAACCTGAAGGTGGATCCGGCATTCAAGCCAGTCAAGCAAAGACACAGAAAGTTCGCTCCTGAGTGCAATCAAATTATTGCTGAAGAAGTAAACAAGTTGCTTCAGGCAGGTTTCATCCGAGAAGTGCACTATCCACAATGGTTCTCTAACGTCGTAATGGTTCAGAAGAAGAATGGAAAATGGAGGGTGTGCATAGATTTTACCAATCTCAACAAAGTTTACCCCAAAGATAGCTTTCCACTACCCAAAATAGATCAAATAGTTGACGCTACAACCGGTTTTGAGAGACTCACATTCCTCGATGCATATTCCAGCTATAACCAAATCCCTATGCATCCAGAAGATGAAGAGAAAACTCCTTCATAACAGAGAAAGGCACCTACTGCTACAGAGTCATGCCTTTCAGACTCAAGAATGTTGGGGCATCTTACCAATGCCTTGTTAATAAGATCTTTGATAAGATATTGGGAAAGACGGTCGAGGCCTACATTGATGACATGGTAGTTAAAAGTGTGAAGAAGGAAGAACATCCTAAGCACCTTCAAGAAGTCTTTAACACTTTGAGAAAGTATAACATGAAGCTGAACCCTTCGAAGTGCTCTTTTACAGTTTCTTTAGGGCAGTTCCTCTGCTATATTGTCAATAAAAAGGGAATCATGGTAAGTCCGGCTTAGGCTCAGGCCCTAATGCAAAATCAGGAACCAAAAACTCACAGGGAAGTACAGGTTCTGACTAGCCGAATTGCAACTCTTAGCCGCTTCATCTCTCGATTATCAAACAAATGCAAATTGTTCTTTGATACAATAAGATCCAAGAACAAAGATATATGGGGACCTCAACAGCAAACTGCTCTTAACCAATTGAAATGTTACATGGCTGAACCTCCAATTCTATCAGCTCCGAAGCCTGGCGAGACTCTTATTATGTATTTAGCAATCTTCTGCATAGCCACAAGTGCAGTACTGATCAGAGAAGAGGGGAAGAATCAGTATCTAGTCTTCTACACAAGTAAAACAATGACAGATGCTGAAATACGATACAACAAGGCTGAGAAGATCATACTAGCACTAGTGTATGCAAAGAGGAAGCTTCGACACTATTTTGAATCACATATCATCATAGTCTTGACCAGCTACCCTATGCGAGTTATTCCTTCCAAGCCAGACTTATCCGGAAGAATAACTAAATGGGCAATCGAACTCAGTTCCTTTGATATATCTTATGAGCCGAAAGTGTCACACAAGGGATAGGCATTAGCCGACTTCCTTCTTGAGTATGAAGATAAGCCTGAAGAGCCAGACCCCCCTGAACCATAATGGGAGCTTCGGGTAGATGGTTCCTCAAACCTAGCTAACACCGGGGCTGGAGTCATTATCATAACCCTTAAAGGCATTAGGCTGTAGCAGTCAATCCGTCTGACTTTTCCCGCTTCTAACAACGAAGTCGAGTATGAGGCCTTACTCGCTAGGCTTTGGTTAGCAAACCAGCTCCAGGAAGGTGTCTAAAGGTTTTTAGTGATTCCCAACTTGTTGTGAATCAGGTGACAGGCAAATATCAACCCAAAGAAGAAAGAATAAAAGCATACAAGGAGGCTGTGGAGGGTGCTACACGAGGATTTAATCAAATTAAATTCCATCAAGTGCCTCGTGATGAGAACTCTGAAGTAGATCAATTGGCTACCACAGCATCTTCTTCAGATGAAGATTTGGTCCGGATAGTACCAATTGACGTCTTGGAAGAACATAGCATAAGCCCTCGGTAGGAAATAATGGTGATCCCAGAAATTCCATGAGAACCATGCTGGATGGATCCGCTGGAAGCTTTCCTCTAGCACGGAACACTCCTAAATCAGAAAGATGAAGCGCGGAAACTTAAGCTCACCGTAGTCACATACTCTATCATCAATAATCAATTGTATCAAAAGTCATTCTCAGGTCCTTACCTCAAGTGTTTAAGTCCCACTGAGGCCCTCATGATTCTGAAGCAAATCCAAGATGGGGACTATGGCAACCATTCCGGGGGTAGATCTTTAGCACATAAGGTCCTTACTCAAGGTTATTTCTGGCCGTACTTGGCTCGGAATGCCGAAAAGTACGCTCGAAGATGCGACAAATGCCAGCGACATGGTCCAATGAAACACCAGCCTGTAGAAGACTTGCATACAATGGCGAATCCATGGCCATTCGCACAATGGGGGATTGACATGGTTGGACTATTACCCAAAACTGTGAGCAGAAAGAATACGTATTGCTAACCATGGATTACTTCACAAAATGGGTGGAGGTAGAGGCTTATTCAAGTAAGACCCACGAGCAAGTAAAGAGTTTCCTATGGAACAACATAATCTATCGTTTTGGAGTACCAAAGGTTATCATAATGGATAATGGTCTAAACTTGGACAACAAAAGTACCAGAAAATTCTTTACCGAGCATAGGATCAGGCAGAAGTTAGCTGCAGTTAGCCATCTGCAGGGGAACGGGCAGGCTAAAATAACTAATCAAACCATTTTCAGTTGTCTAAAGAAAAATTTAGAGAAGCTCAAGTCAAAGTGGTACGAGAATCTGCCTCAGGTACTGTGGGCATATCGAACTACCCCGCGAAGGCCAATGGGCAAAAGCCCTTTTGCTATGGCCTACGGGTCTGAAGCTGTCATCCCCACGAAGTCAGTAGTTCCTATTCTTTGGACCCATCTGGTGCTCGAAGGGAACAATGATCAGCAGCTCGAGCATAGCCTCGATCGCTAGGAAAAAAAAAGAGATGTTGCAGCAATTAGACTCGTTTCATACCAACAATAGTTGCATAACAGTTACAAAAAGCGAGTCCGGTTCAGAAGTTTTGTGGAAGGTGATTGGGTGCTGAAGCAAGACATAGCCCATGCTAAAAAGTTACAACCCAATTGGATTGGACCTTAGAGAGTCACAGAAGTAGTAGGGAAAGGAGCTTACTGGTTGGCTGAAGCTGATGGACGTCCAACTACATGTCCATGGAATGCAATACACCTAAAAAGGTACTATCATTAGACAATATGGTTTATTTATTTTTCTTTTACAAACAGTATAATCTATTTTTTCTACAAACATGGCTGTTTCTAGGCCCACTTAATAAATTTTTTTTGAGTACTACACATCTTTACTCCTTTTACTTTAGTAGTATGGGATATTATTTGTTGCTACTTTCTTTTTCGTCATAGGGGGCAATACATATACCCTACTGTTGATATTACGACAGAAGAAAGATATTATCACAAGCAAAGCAAAGCTATATTTTTTGCTTATTGATTGTACTTGCAAGTCTTTTTACATGGAAAACGTACTTTAGAGTGCATTGTTTATTGCAAACGAATGCCTATTGGACATTCAGGCTTTACTTAAATCGTAGACCCAAAGGTTTTTTTTGTAATATTTCTTCTCGTTTCTGGGACATAAACCGCAAATGTATGTAGCTCAGAACTCATATCATATTGTGGTCCTACATCGGAAAAAAGAATACCTCTATACATTCATTTATATAGGGAAATATTAAAGTATTTGAGTGCATTGCAAAGAAGGCCCACCGGTAACAGTAACGGCCCAGCCTAAATTATGTTCAAAAGCCTTGGTACCAGTGGGCATTCTTTGTAATAATTCTTTTTTCAAACACATCAAGTTTTTGGCCCATATTGAGTTTTATTCTTTGTCCTACATCGAATAGGAATACAAGAGGTGTATAGTTAATATAGAGTTATCACACCACATTCGGTTGCCACGAAGAGTCTCTGTGGAAGAAAGTCTCCTGAACAAATGTACGGGAGACTTCTCAGGTACGTTACTCTCTTTCTTGGCCTCATGTCATTTTTGAATCTTTGGCCAGTTTTGCATACTTGGTAAGTTTTCCAGATTCAGCCTCGGACCTCAAGAGTCCGGCAAAATACAGTTCCTCTTAGGCTCATAGCCGAGGAACATATCGCTTAGGACCTCAAGATTCCGGCACAATCCAATTCCTCTTAGGCTCATAGTTGAGGAACATATCGCTTCGGACCTCAAGAGTCCGGCGCAATCTAGTTCCTCTCAGGCTCATAGTTGAGGAACATATCGCTTTGGACCTCAAGAGTCTGGCACAATTCAGTTCCTCATAGGCTTATAGCTGAGGAATATATCACTTCGGACCTCAAGAGTCCAGCACAATCCCGTTCCTTTCGGGCTCATAGCCGAGGAACACATCACTTCGGACCTCAAGAGTCCGGTGCAATACTCTCTTAAACTCGTAGCCAAAAAGTGTATCGCCTCGGACAACTCAGGTCTGAGGCTACATCGATAGGGTTTTTGAGCCTAGGTGGGGGCAAAAATTCTATATGGCTGCCATACCTTTAGGCCCTTATACTTGGCCAATAACAAGCTACCTTTGGAAAATTTTATCCCATATTAAAAGTAAATAGAAAACATGAGTGCAGTATATAGTACAATCCCGCACTCATACTTCGCCAAAAAAGGTGCCCCTTGATAAATAGATCTTTAAACGAAAATTAACATATCAGGGGACCTTCTTTCTTGAGCCAATCCTTTTCAAAATCTTCATATCACATGATACGAATACTGCATTGAAAGGTTGAAACCCTTAGAGCATATTCTTCCAAGACAAGAGACTCCGTGTCTCAGACACAAAGAATCTGAGTACAAGGAATTGGGAAAAAACCCAAATGAATCAGTAAAAATCTAAGCAGATGTTGCTGTATCCGTTGACATTTTATCCCTAGGATCAACAAGTCTGGCTAAGACAATTATTAAGGCAAGTGATTAACTTGTCCCACATTGAAATAATACAAGGAAAACGAGTATTGATATATCTATCCTATGCAAATTAATGGAAAGAAGGGTTCCCTTGACGGTTAGATCATTAGATGGAGAAAACCATCCTCGGATATTAATTAAACTGTCAAAGGGTCCCTTCTTATCATTTTCCCTGTTTTTGCTTCAGACCACAAGGGGTACGAAGCCTTCAAGTAACAAAACTTCCTCAAAGATAGGAAAATTTACTACTCGGTGATAATGTGAAACTCAGAAGCATTCACAGACATAAAAATCACCTTAAAAATAAATTTTATCATTACAGTACCAGGAACAAAAATATGTTGTTTTAAACAGTCATCAGTTCAAAATTATGAATTACACGACCCTACTTCCTTTTCGGATCAAAAGGAGTAAAGTCGAAGACATTAACCACATTCGGGTTCGAAGTGGTTTCTGAAGGGAGTAGAGGCTTTGAAGCTGGCAGACGAGAAGAACTTGGAGCTGGAAGGTCCTTCTGATAAGATTTCACTATCTCGACAAATAGCACCTCAGCTTCTTGGGTTGGTGGACCCTCAGCATAAGGAAAAGACAATTCCATATCAGTATCAAAGGCGTCAGGATCCTTTGTGATACCCCCCGGATTTTCGGATGCGGGTTGGCCAGGCCCACGCCCTATTACCAGAGGATATCAAACCAATTAGCAATAAACGAACACAGAATACAATTAAGAAAACAGGAATAAATAAAAATTTGCTAGAAAAGAAACTAGAATAATAATCTAAATACTGAAACCTCAGAATAAAATTAAATTAATAAAGAATTATTCTGATACATCCAAATTCTCCATTTCTAATAGAACTCGGGAGTCCATCTGGTGGACCCTTAAAAACTCTAACACTGAAATCATCAACTGAAGAACTCCACTGCTAAATCATGAAGAAGCTCCTACGTCGTCGGAAGAATGAGAAGCCGTCTCTGCTTAGGACAAATAAGATCTAAGACCTGGAACCGTCCTTTACCTGAAAAAATAATAGTGGGTCAGGCCCACAAACAAGTTCTACCCTAACTAGAATCCAAACAGAGACCCGATACGCAAATACATCCTAGATGTCTCAACCATATCTATATAGTCCAAAATAGATAAATATATATCCACACTACAGGACTCTCACTAAACTATGCTGAGGGTCTCAACCTGAATAGAAGGCAACATGCAATACGCACCTGAGTGGGCATGACTACCTAAGCTTAACAAGGTATACCTCAACCAACATAGCTAACTACGCATCCTACTGCATATACGCACCCTAACCGTCGACTATGAGACTCAAGCTCAGATCGCGGTACCATAATTTATATATATAAATTCCCATCCAAACCAATGTAGTGCGCTCAACTGTCGTTTCCATGACATGACATAAAATTAGGATTTAAATGTTTTAATTAAATCCCTATCCCATTTCTATATATGAGTTCCTTCCAAATACAATGTTGTGCCGGTCAACAGTTCATTGCTCAAGACATAACATGTAATCAGGATTTAAACGTTTTAGTTAAAACCCTATCCTTCCTAATACAGAAATATAAACAATCATCCAGTATGTCATTCAATTGTTTTAGTTGACAGGACATGAAACCATGTAGGATTTAACTGTTTTAGTTAATCCGTTCCATATGTATAAATGGGTAGGGATTAGCGTTGTGACCTAATCCATCCCTCTGTGTGACACCGTCCCATACCGGTGCATACATGCAAATGATCCGTTAATGATGCAACATTATAAGCAGTACATCAAATAAGTCCACAGTATCCATATAGTTGATAAACA